AACACTCGAAAGGCCTAAAGTGTTTATTTCATTTTTGCAATTGTCAATGTCTACGAAGTATAAATGACGTCTAAATTACCAACAGTAGCTTAATGAAGACCAAATCTATGAGTACTGTCCTGTAAGTACTGTTTTACTTTACATAGAGTGATCAAATTTGCTTAGTAGAGGCACTTACCCTGCCTAGTGCTACCGACTCTTCCAAACCTTCCGCTGGAAAGAGTCCATCCTACCAAGAGTCGTCCACCCCGCCTAGATTCATCCTATCCGCCTAAACGGTTAAAATCGTCCACGCTGCCAAAGTCACCATGTTACGGTTGTTGTGCCGATGGCTTTTGCAGTGCATTTCATTCTCTTATGCCTTACGTCCATGTTTACGTTTAGCGATACACTTCCGGTTTCGCTCTTAGAATAGAAAATTGGGTCATTTTTACTATTTATATTTTATGGACAAAATTCTACCTTTTAACTCCACGTTAATCTACTGACATGGGCGCTGCCATATTGTTTCGATGACGTAATAGGTCATAAAATATAGGAGGATTTCAGCTGACGTCACATCCGGGAGTTTCCCCATCTAAAAATAGGCTGGCCGTTAAGCGTCAATGACACGTGTGCTGTAACCGAGACAGAAAAAACTAATAAATCTGAAGTTTCATCTATTCTAGGATGATATGATTAATTAAAATTAATGGTGAATTTAATCTGTGTAGGAAAGAGCATGCTCGCCGATTTCGACGTAGGTAAGTAGCCTAGGCCTAGAGTTAGGCCTAGATTTGGCTGAAGATTAATTAGATAACAATTTTTTTTATATTTCATCTGGTACCAATCCTGAAAGTAACCTAAACACAAATCTAAATCATTTTACAACATATTTTGTCTGATTTTTAACGAAAGAAAACAAATTATTCAAATTCAAAGGGAATCGATTGGAATATCCAGACTTTTATTGTCATTGACACGCTATAGACACTTACGTCATGTTGATCGACCATACATCACACAGATTATGTAAACGTGCCAGATTTGAGTGAAACCGTGGCCTATTTTTCTGCGAGAATTGGCTGAATGGCGTTACAAAAAAGAAAGAATGACTAGAGCCACACGTGGCACAGAGTGGGACTTTGCAAATGTAGCAAAATGCAAAAGACCCCGAAAAAATCAACCTTCCACGATAATTAGATCAAGCGCAAGAACAGTCTAAAGTTGAGAAATTTTCCTTTTTTTTAGAAGATTTTAATACCGGAAGTGGACGTCAGACCTCACAAATGAAAGTATCAGCAGATAGCCGAGGTCAATGAAACAGCCAAAATTCTAAGACAAAGTGGCTTAAAATACAAATACAAATACAAAAGTATAAATAGATAGCCAATGCCAATGACGTTTGATCCTACAAAGGTCAAGGTCAACAAAGGTCAAGGTCAAAAATTGAAAATTTTGAATTTCCAAAACCTGTTCCTTTTTTTGAACTATGAAGCGGAAACAACCAAAATTCTAAGACAAAGTGGCTTAAAATATGAGGTAATTGTGTAAAAAGTTCCATTTTGAACAAATGTATACTTTGCGAGTTATGCACCTGGCTAAAATGTCAATAATGAGTAATTTACCCCGAAAGTGCCACGCCCAACTCAATTTTTTTTGAATAAGTTAGTCAATATTCAAAATGTTACGTTATGTTCCAAATGTCAAGTTCCTACATAATAGAGGTCAAAAGATATAGGTCAACAAAAGTCAAAAAAGGTCAAAATAAAAAAATGAAAATATCCAAATGTTAAAACTCGTTCCTTTTTTGAAACTATAAAGCTGAAACAACTGAGCTGTTAATACATACTGGCCAAAAGGATGAGGTAATTGTGTGCAA